TCTCACCTGTCCGTCTCACCTGTCTCTCACCTGTCTCTCACCTGTATGTCTCACCTGTCCCTCACCTGTCTGTCTCACCTGTCTGTCTCACCTGTCCCTCACCTGTCTCTCACCTGTCTCTCACCTGTATGTCTCACCTGTCCCTCACCTGTCTCCCAGCCTGTCCCTGTGTCCACGGGCAGTGTGAGAACCGTCCAGATTCAGACGGACGCTGTAAACCGGACTCGTGTCAGCCGGGCTTCACCGGGCGGTTCTGTGAGAGACGGACAGCACCGTGTGGCCTTCAGGTTCACTTCTGTCACGCTCACGCGGACTGCGACTTCACCCAGGGGGCGTTCAGGTGAGCTCACCTGTCCCTCACCTGTCAGTCTGACAGGTGAGGGACAGAGTGGAGGCAGGGTGTCCTCCATTAGAAACCATTGAGTCAGAGACAGGATTTAAACCCAAACGTTATTATTTTAATTGTTTACTCGATTCGATCTTTTTTCCACCTCGTGTGAAAACTCTTTGAACTCGGACCTGCTCTCAACGCCTAAGTTCCATCTTATCTTATCTTAGGTGTGTTTGTAAACCTGGTTACCAAGGTGACGGGATCACCTGTGTGGAGGCGGACCCGTGCGCCCCCCCCCCTCCGTGGAGGCTGCAGCGTTAACGTGAGTTATTAAACCCTAAAGCACTTTCATCCACAGAGACACTTTGATCCACTATAGAGACACTTTGATCCACTATAGAGACACTTTGATCCACTATAGAGACACTTTGATCCACTAAGAGACACTTTGATCCACTATAGAGACACTTTGATCCACTATAGAGACACTTTGATCCATGTATAGAGACACTTTGATCCACTAAGAGACACTTTGATCCACTAAGAGACACTTTGATCCACTAAGAGACACTTTGATCCACTAAGAGACACTTTGATCCACTAAGAGACACTTTGATCCACTATAGAGACACTTTGATCCACTATAGAGACACTTTGATCCACTATAGAGACACTTTGATCCACTATAGAGACACTTTGATCCACTATAGAGACCACTTTGATCCTACTATAGAGACCTTTGATCCACTATAGAGACACTTTGATCCACTATAGAGACACTTTGATCCACTATAGAGACACTTTGATCCACTATAGAGACACTTTGATCCACTATAGAGGACACTTTGATCCACTAAGAGACACTTTGATCCACTATAGAGACACTTTGATCCACTATAGAGACACTTTGATCCACTATAGAGACACTTTGATCCACTAAGAGACACTTTGATCCACTATAGAGACACTTTGATCCACTATAGAGACACTTTGATCCACTAAGAGACACTTTGATCCACTATAGAGACACTTTGATCCACTAAGAGACACTTTGATCCACTATAGAGACACTTTGATCCACTATAGAGACACTTTGATCCACTATAGAGACACTTTGATCCACTATAGAGACACTTTGATCCACTAAGAGACACTTTGATCCACTATAGAGACACTTTGATCCACTAAGAGACACTTTGATCCACTATAGAGACACTTTGATCCACTATAGAGACACTTTGATCCACTATAGAGACACTTTGATCCACTATAGAGACACTTTGATCCGCTAAGAGACACTTTGATCCACTATAGAGACACTTTGATCCACTATAGAGACACTTTGATCCACTATAGAGACACTTTGATCCACATATAGAGACAACTTTGATCCACTATAGAGACACTTTGATCCACTAAGAGACAACTTTGATCCACTATAGAGACACTTTGAATCCACTATAGAGACACTTTGATCCACTATAGAGACACTTTGATCCATGTATAGAGACACTTTGATCCACTAAGAGACACTTTGATCCACTAAGAGACACTTTGATCCACTATAGAGACACTTTGATCCACTATAGAGACACTTTGATCCACTATAGAGACACTTTGATCCACTATAGAGACACTTTGATCCACTAAGAGACACTTTGATCCACTATAGAGCTATAGAGACAACTTTGAGTCCACTATAGAGACACTTTGATCCACTATAGAGACACTTTGATCCACTACAAGAGACACTTTGATCCATATAGAGACACTTTATCCCACTATAGAGACACTTTGATCCGCTAAGAGACACTTTGATCCACTATAGACACTTTGATCCACTAAGAGACACTTTGATCCACTATAGAGACACTTTGATCCACTATAGAGACACTTTGATCCGCTAAGAGACACTTTGATCCACTATAGAGACACTTTGATCCACTATAGAGACACTTTGATCCGCTATAGAGACACTTTGATCCACTAAGAGACACTTTGATCCACTATAGAGACACTTTGATCCACTATAGAGACACTTTGATCCACTATAGAGACACTTTGATCCACTAAGAGACACTTTGATCCACTATAGAGACACTTTGATCCACTATAGAGACACTTTGATCCGCTAAGAGACACTTTGATCCACTATAGAGACACTTTGATCCACTATAGAGACACTTTGATCCACTATAGAGACACTTTGATCCACTATAGAGACACTTTGATCCACTAAGAGACACTTTGATCCACTATAGAGACACTTTGATCCACTATAGAGACACTTTGATCCACTATAGAGACACTTTGATCCATGTATAGAGACACTTTGATCCACTAAGAGACACTTTGATCCACTAAGAGACACTTTGATCCACTATAGAGACACTTTGATCCACTATAGAGACACTTTGATCCACTAAGAGACACTTTGATCCACTATAGAGCTATAGAGACACTTTGATCCACTATAGAGACACTTTGATCCACTATAGAGACACTTTGATCCACTACAGAGACACTTGATCCACTATAGAGACACTTTGATCCACTATAGAGACACTTTGATCCGCTAAGAGACACTTTGATCCACTATAGAGACACTTTGATCCACTAAGAGACACTTTGATCCACTATAGAGACACTTTGATCCACTATAGAGACACTTTGATCCGCTAAGAGACACTTTGATCCACTATAGAGACACTTTGATCCACTATAGAGACACTTTGATCCGCTAAGAGACACTTTGATCCACTATAGAGACACTTTGATCCACTATAGAGACACTTTGATCCACTAAGAGACACTTTGATCCACTATAGAGACACTTTGATCCACTATAGAGACACTTTGATACACTAAGAGACACTTTGATCCACTATAGAGACACTTTGATCCACTAAGAGACACTTTGATCCACTATAGAGACACTTTGATCCACTACAGAGACACTTTGATCCACTAAGAGACACTTTGATCCACTACAGAGACACTTTGATCCACTACAGAGACACTTTGATCCACTATAGAGACACTTTGATCCACTATAGAGACACTTTGATCCACTATAGAGACACTTTGATCCACTAAGAGACACTTTGATCCACTATAGAGACACTTTGATCCACTAAGAGACACTTTGATCCACTATAGAGAAAATGTAAATCTTTCCCTGCTCTGATTCTCTTTAAAGCAGTAAATGTATTTAAAGTTTAAATTAAGGCAGTGTCGTGCGCTGCGCCCCCTGCAGGCCAAGTGTGTGCGCAGCGCTCCTGGAGCTCACAGCTGTCAGTGTCTGAACGGCTGGAGGCGGGACGGAGACGACTGTCAGCCAATCAACAACTGCCAGGCGCCTGAGGGGGGGGGCTGCCATCCCAACGCCTCCTGCATCTACGTGGGACCTGGACAGGTGAGGACACACCTGACCCTGAACACACCTGATACACCTGACCCTGAACACACCTGATACACCTGACCCTGAACCCACCTCATACACCTGACCCTGAACACACCTCATACACCTGACCCTGAACACACCTGATACACCTGACCCTGAACACACCTGATACACCTGACCCTGAACACACCTCATACACCTGACCCTGAACACACCTGATACACCTGACCCTGAACACACCTGATACACCTGACCCTGAACACACCGGATACACCTGACCCTGAACACACCGGATACACCTGACCCTGAACACACCTGATACACCTGACCCTGAACACACCTGATACACCTGACCCTGAACACACCTGATACACCTGACCCTGAACACACCTGATACACCTGACCCTGAACACACCTGATAAACCTGACCCTGAACACACCTGATACACCTGACCCTGAACACACCTGATACACCTGACCCTGAACACACCTCATACACCTGACCCTGAACACACCTGACCCTGAACACACCGGATACACCTGACCCTGAACACACCTGATACACCTGACCCTGAACACACCTGATACACCTGACCCTGAACACACCGGATACACCTGACCCTGAACACACCGGATACACCTGACCCTGAACACACCTGATACACCTGACCCTGAACACACCTGATACACCTGACCCTGAACACACCTGATACACCTGACCCTGAACACACCTGATACACCTGACCCTGAACACACCTGACACACCTGACCCTGAACACACCTGATACACCTGACCCTGAACACACCTCATACACCTGACCCTGAACACACCTGATACACCTGACCCTGAACACACCTCATACACCTGACCCTGAACACACCTCATACACCTGACCCTGAACACACCTGATACACCTGACCCTGAACACACCTCATACACCTGACCCTGAACACACCTGATTCACCTGACCCTGAACACACCTCATACACCTGACCCTGAACACACCTGATACACCTGACCCTGAACACACCTGATTCACCTGACCCTGAACACACCTCATACACCTGACCCTGAACACACCTGATACACCTGACCCTGAACACACCTGATACACCTGACCCTGAACACACCTGATACACCTGACCCTGAACACACCTGACACACCTGACCCTGAACACACCTGATACACCTGACCCTGAACACACCTGATACACCTGACCCTGAACACACCTCATACACCTGACCCTGAACACACCTGATACACCTGACCCTGAACACACCTGATACACCTGACCCTGAACACACCTCATACACCTGACCCTGAACACACCTGATACACCTGACCCTGAACACAACTGATACACCTGACCCTGAACACACCTGATACACCTGACCCTGAACACACCTGATACACCTGACCCTGAACACACACACCTGACCCTGAACACACCTCATACACCTGACCCTGAACACACCTGATACACCTGACCCTGAACACACCGGATACACCTGACCCTGAACACACCTGACACACCTGACCCTGAACACACCTGATACACCTGACCCTGAACACACCTGATACACCTGACCCTGAACACACCGGATACACCTGACCCTGAACACACCTCATACACCTGACCGTGAACACACCTGACACACCTGACCCTGAACACACCCTGATACACCTGACCCTGAACACACCTGATACACCTGACCCTGAACACACCTGATACACCTGACCCTGAACACACCTGATACACCTGACCCTGAACACACCGGATACACCTGACCCTGAACACACCTGATACACCTGTCCCTGAACACACCGGATACACCTGACCCTGAACACACCTGACACACCTGACCCTGAACACACCTGATACACCTGACCCTGAACACACCTCATACACCTGACCCTGAACACACCTGATACACCTGACCCTGAACACACCTCATACACCTGACCCTGAACACACCTCATACACCTGACCCTGAACACACCTGATACACCTGACCCTGAACACACCTCATACACCTGACCCTGAACACACCTCATACACCTGACCCTGAACACACCTGACCCTGAACACACCTGATACACCTGACCCTGAACACACCGGATACACCTGACCCTGAACACACCGGATACACCTGACCCTGAACACACCTGACCCTGAACACACCTGACCCTGAACACACCTCATACACCGGACGCTGAACACACCTCATACACCTGACCCTGAACACACCTGATACACCTGACCCTGAACACACCTCATACACCTGACCCTGAACACACCTGATACACCTGACCCTGAACACACCTCATACACCTGACCCTGAACACACCTCATACACCTGACCCTGAACACACCTGATACACCTGACCCTGAACACACCTGATACACCTGACCCTGAACACACCTGATACACCTGACCCTGAACACACCTGATACACCTGACCCTGAACACACCTCATACACCTGACCCTGAACACACCTGATACACCTGACCCTGAACACACCTGATACACCTGACCCTGAACACACCTGATACACCTGACCCTGAACACACCTGATACACCTGACCCCTGAACACACCTGATACACCTGACCCTGAACACACCTGATACACCTGACCCTGAACACACCTGATACACCTGACCCTGAACACACCTGATACACCTGACCCTGAACACACCTCATACACCGGACCCTGAACACACCTGACCCTGAACACACCTGATACACCTGACCCTGAACACACCTCATACACCGGACCCTGAACACACCTGACCCTGAACACACCTCATACACCGGACCCTGAACACACCATGAGCAACATTACATCACATTGCATTTAGCTGAGGCTTTTATCCAGAGCGACTTACAATAAGTGCGTTCGACCAACAAAATACAACCTTGAAGAAAACAGAATCATAAAGTACATCAGGTTTCATAGAGCCAAACATTTCAAGTGCTGCTCAACTGGCTTTAGATAAGCCAGCCCTTTATTAGTATATTAGTGCTTTGTTAATAGTTCTATCGCTTGAAGTGGAGTCGAAAGAGATGAGTTTTCAGTCTGGAAGGTGTGTAAGCTATCTGCTCATTCCACCATCTTGGAGCCAGGATAGCAAACCCACGTGAATATACATAGAACACATAGAACATATAACATCAAGTAGATGGAATGATAAATTAGATACATAATGTAAATCCTGATGGGGGTCACCAGACACTGATATTGATTCCCCCCACCTCAGAGTGACTGCAGCTGTAAGCCGGGCTACAGAGGCAGTGGCAGCGACTGTGAGGCGGTGAACCAGTGCGTCTCCCAGCGGGGGGGCTGCCACCACCTGGTCAGTATCAGTACTACACCTATTCTGCAAAGGCCACTTCTTCATGTCTCTTCTACATCAACATGTGTCCCCTCTTCTCCATGTCTCTTCTACATCAACATATGTCCCCTCTTCTTCATGTCTCTTCTACATCAACATATGTCCCCTCTTCTTCATGTCTCTTCTACATCAACATATGTCCCCTCTTCTTCATGTCTCTTCTACATCAACATGTGTCCCCTCTTCTTCATGTCTCTTCTACATCAACATGTGTCCCCTCTTCTTCATGTCTCTTCTTCATCAACATGTGTCCCCTCTTCTTCATATCTCTTCTACATCAACATGTGTCCCCTCTTCTTCATGTCTCTTCTACATCAACATGTGTCCCCTCTTCTCCATGTCTCTTCTACATCAACATGTGTCCCCTCTTCTCCATGTCTCTTCTACATCAACATGTGTCCCCTCTTCTTCATGTCTCTTCTACATCAACATGTGTCCCCTCTTCTTCATCAACATGTGTCCCCTCTTCTTCATGTATCTTCTTCATCAACATGTGTCCCCTCTTCTTCATGTCTCTTCTACATCAACATGTGTCCCCTCTTCTTCATGTCTCTTCTTCATCAACATGTGTCCCCTCTTCTTCATGTCTCTTCTACATCAACATGTGTCCCCTCTTTCTTCATGTCTCTTCTACATCAACATGTGTCCCCTCTTCTTCATGTCTCTTCTTCATCAACATGTGTCCCCTCTTCTTCATGTCTCTTCTACATCAACATGTGTCCCCTCTTCTTCATGTCTCTTCTATATCAACATGTGTCCCCTCTTCTTCATGTCTTCTAATCAATGTCCCTCGTCCCGTCTTCTACATCAACATGTGTCCCCTCTTCTCCATGTCTCTTCTACATCAACATGTGTCCCCTCTTCTTCATGTCTCTTCTACATCAACATGTGTCCCCTCTTCTTCATGTCTCTTCTACATCAACATGTGTCCCCTCTTCTTCATGTCTCTTCTACATCAACATGTGTCCCCTCTTCTTCATGTCTCTTCTACATCAACATGTGTCCCCTCTTCTTCATGTCTACATCAAATGTGTCCCCTCTTTTCATGTCTCTTCTACATCAACATGTGTCCCCTCTTCTTCATGTCTCTTCTACATTCAACATGTGTCCCCTCTTCTCCATGTCTCTTCTACATCAAAATGTGTCCCTTCTTCTTCTTCATGTCTCTTTCTACATCAACATATGTCCCCTCTTCTTCATGTCTCTTCTACATCAACATGTGTCCCCCTTCTTTCATGTCTCTTCTACATCAACATATGTCCCCTCTTCTTCATGTCTCTTCTACATTCAACATGTGTCCCCTCTTCTTCATGTCTCTTCTACATCAACATGTGTCCCCTCTTCTCCCATGTCTCTTCTACATCAACATGTGTCCCCCTCTTCTCCATGTCTCTTCTACATCAAATGTGTCCCCTCTTCTTCATGTCTCTTCTACATCAACATGTGTCCCCTCTTCTTCATGTCTCTTCTACATCAACATGTGTCCCCTCTTCTCCATGTATCTTCTTCATCAACATGTGTCCCCTCTTCTTCATGTCTCTTCTACATCAACATGTGTCCCTTCTTCTTCATGTCTCTTCTACATCAACATGTGTCCCCTCTTCTTCATGTCTCTTCTTCATCAACATGTGTCCCCTCTTCTTCATGTCTCTTTACATCAACATGTGTCCCCTCTTCTTCATGTCTCTTCTACATCAACATGTGTCCCCTCTTCTTCATGTCTCTTTTACATCAACATGTGTCCCCTCTTCTTCATGTCTCTTTACATCAACATGTGTCCCCTCTTCTTCATGTCTCTTCTACATCAACATGTGTCCCCTCTTCTCCATGTCTCTTCTACATCAACATGTGTCCCTTCTTCTTCATGTCTCTTCTACCTATCAACATGTGTCCCCTCTTCTTCATGTCTCTTCTTCATCAAACATGTGTCCCCTCTTCTTCATGTCTCTTTACATCAACATGTGTCCCCCTCTTCTCATGTCTCTTCTACATCAACATGTGTCCCCTCTTCTCCATGTCTCTTCTACATCAACATGTGTCCCCTCTTCCTCATGGTCTCTTCTACATCAACATGTGTCCCCTCTTCTTCATGTCTCTTCTACATCAACATGTGTCCCCTCTTCTTCATGTCTCTTTACATCAACATGTGTCCCCTCTTCTTCATGTCTCTTCTACATCAACATGTGTCCCCTCTTCTTCATGTCTCTTCTTCATCAACATGTGTCCGCTCTTCTTCATGTCTCTTCTACATCAACATGTGTCCCCTCTTCTCCATGTCTCTTCTACATCAACATGTGTCCCCTCTTCTTCATGTCTCTTTACATCAACATGTGTCCCCTCTTCTTCATGTCTCTTTTACATCAACATGTGTCCCCTCTTCTCCATGTCTCTTCTACATCAACATGTGTCCCCTCTTCTCCATGTCTCTTCTACATCAACATGTGTCCCCTCTTCTCCATGTCTCTTCTACATCAACATGTGTCCCCTCTTCTTCATGTCCTCTTCTACATCAACATGTGTCCCCTCTTCTTCATGTCTCTTCTTCATCAACATGTGTCCGCTCTTCTCCATGTCTCTTCTACATCAACATGTGTCCCCTCTTCTTCATGTCTCTTTACATCAACATGTGTCCCCTCTTCTTCATGTCTCTTTTACATCAACATGTGTCCCCTCTTCTCCATGTCTCTTCTACATCAACATGTGTCCCCTCTTCTCCATGTCTCTTCTACATCAACATGTGTCCCCTCTTCTCCATGTCTCTTCTACATCAACATGTGTCCCCTCTTCTCTTAAATGGGTGAAAATGGCTTGTGCCCATAATGGGCAGCATTAATACCCACATGCCAGATAAGGTCAGAAGAGCTTTATTTAACAGCTGGTCTTATGTCTGTGACCCCTCCTGTTGTTCATTGATAACATTACATTCATTGATGAGCCTGAAACATGCACTTGTCAAGGTTCAGAGGCACATATCGTAGTCCCAA